CTTGAGGGTACTGAATAGTGTTGAACAGGGCTCGGTAGGCATGGGCCAGGCCCCAGCACATTGCAGTGATTTGTGTCTCTGGAATTGCCAGGGTGACAGCATACTTTTTCCAAACATTTTACTAGTATTTCAGGATTCTGTTCAGGGGTGAAGTTCCAAAACATTGGAGGTGCCCACCGTCCTAGGTACTTGCCCATACTATCCCACACACCCTGCCACTCAACTTCCCAGCCTTGGGACAGATCTCTGGGTGGTATTCTTAAATAGTTGTTTAACCTTAAACAAGACCTGAAACACATTCAGGAGACATAGCAATAGGAACGTGCTGGTTTGAACATCCCAAGGATATTCAAAATTCTCAAGAGCTGTTGTAACTAGCCTGGAGGAGAAAGGGAAGGTGAAAGAGCAGAGGAAAGTGTCTCTCCTGTCTCCCCCATAGATTTTACATTTTCTCCTCGGGGAACCAGAGTGTAATTATTAATAGTTTTAACAGATGGTTCCCAAAGCACAGAGATTACAGCAATGCTGAGTACAAATACCAGATTAGTCTCACGACCAGTAATTTTATCATATCATAAGCCAGTAGAGCAAAATTATAACCTTAACCCAGCTCCCAGAGGTGATAAACAGCACAACAGGGAACATATACAGCAAGTAAGGTGTTACATACACAACTCTGAGACAAGCACAACAACTCCAAGAGCAAGTAAATCAACATTGCGACCAGCGACTATTAACCTAATATAATGAATGCTTATAACAAAATTTGTTTTAGCACGCCCTGGTCAGATCTGTTGTCATCTCAACCCTTCGTGCCCCACACTGGGCACCAAAAAGGACTGTCGTGGTTTAACCCGGCAGGCAGCTAAACACCACACAGCCATTTGCTCACTCCCCTGCAGTGGGATGGGGGAGAGAATCAGAAAAAAGGTAAAACTCGTAGGTTGAGATAAGGACAATTTAATAGGACAGAAAACAAAGGGAAAAATGATAATGATAGAAGAATATACGAAACAAGTGATGCACAATGCAATTGCTCACCACCTGCTGCCTGATCCCCAGCCAGTTCCTGAGCAGCAGCCACACACCCCCAGCCAAGTCCACAAAGTATTTTTGTTCAGCATGACGTCACATGGTATGGAATGTCCCTTTGGCC